TAGGCCTATAAAATTTTAGAGATTTCGAAAATAGATTTTTTTCTAAATCTTCATTCATTTATATTCAAGTTTATATCTATGTCCAAAAATCTTTATTGAAAAATCCGAGGGTCCAATAAATAAATATTTGTTACATTTGATTTAAAAATTTAGAATGCAATTCATCATTAGTTTTTTATTATTTCCCAATTCATATTTTTATTTTATATTCATATTATTCTAAATGTTTGTTTCACTTTTTTTAAACTATCTTTAGTATTTATTTTTAATTTTTTTGTTATTGCATTTCATATTTAAATTATTCACATAGTAATTTACATACATTTTGTGTATAAATTGCTTGTTATTTTTTAGTTTAAATATTTAGTTGTGCATTTTTAATTTTATTTTAGCTTGCATTTATTGAGTTATTTTTATTTTAATATGGTTTATTTTTTATGCTATAAATATTTGTTTTTATTTATTTTCGTGTATTTTTTAGTTTGTTACATTAACGAAAGTCACTTTGAAGTTATCCAATATTGTTTTTATTTAAATTGGATAGGTGCCTGAATTTTTTTTTATATACATAAAATACATACACACATACATATATATATATATATATATATATATAAATTCGTTAAATATTTATTATTATTATACATTAATTAATTAATTTTATTATAATAATAATTATCGCAAAGGCTTTAACACAGATAATAAAACAGTCGTTCCAGTTTAAAGCATTTTGTTAAGAAAATTATTAATATCTCGAGTTTTACGAACAAATTAAAAAAAATTAATATTTTTACTCAAAGCAGACATAATACATATTTTTATGTGAAAAGTGCAAAGTTGTAATACAAACGGTGCGTCCTTAATAATTTTTTAAAAATATCACAATATCAAAATATAGTTTTTGTTAAAATTATTATAAAATTTGCAAATAAATTTATAAGTTTTAATATATGTATAGTTAAAATAGACCTGTTGAATAAAATTATATATATAAAATACAAATCTGTAATACAAACGGTGCGTCCTGAGGGTTTTTTCAAAAAGAAATTATTTAAGGTGCAAAAAGATACAGATTTTGGTTCAGATGATACTAAATTTATATTATATTTTGAGTTACAATTGCAATTATTATATTAAAATATTTTTTTTGTATATAATGTATAATATATATATATATATATGATATATATATATATATATATACGATATATATATATATATATATATATATATTATTTATTCATGTTCAATATATTTATAGAAAGAGTAAATATTATTATCAGGTTGCAAAGAGTCAACTTTCAATATTTACTTTAAATGTTATTACAAGAATGTCATGTTAACAATAATAACAATTTACATATATTAAATATTAAATATATTGCATGAATGCATTTTCCTCTCAATAAAAATTTCTTAGTCTTCCATAGGTTAAAAAAGTACTATTCTTGAATTATTTACACATTAAAAGATGAGGGGAACAAAATTTAAAATGTTTCTAAAAATTTTATTCCATTTTATGAAAATTTTTACAAATTTTCATAATAATTTCAAAATAAGTATAATAACTGGAAATCAGTCATAAGAAATATTTATTCATAAAAAGATTTAAACTTTTTGCAAAAATAATTTAGAGATAACAAAACTAAAAAAACTAACTTTTGATTTTATTTAGATTCCAAAAATGGAAAACTTTTGAAACTTTAGTATATTTTTTTACTTATTACAATAACTGAATACCTTGCATGAAATATCCATTTATTTGCCATATTTCGTGGAAAAAATTATATTTACATAAATTAAATGCATATATTTATATTCATATTTATTACAAACTGACAAATTTATTCAAAGCTTCTGAGTTCTAATAATTTCATTTTTCGCATTTGATATTCAAAATGCACCACATGGTAAATTACAAAATAACAAAAATCTGTACACCATAAAACAATTTCACTTTACAAAAACAAATTAAAAATTTCAGACTCTTTTACAAAATTATAATTTATTCTTATATCGCGATCCATCCTCCTCGATAATCTCTAACAAATTGTTCGATTTTCGTACTAAACTTGGATTTCGAAAATTTTCCTCTTATAAACAAACATCCGACGACAATAAGAGAAGATTAATACAAATGTCTATTATTTGTTACGTAATTTGTATAACAAATTGATGAATTGTTCTCGTTGCAATTGATGATGATGAATGCCATTGAAAGGCGCGAAAACAAAATAAACAGATTAATGAATGGAAAATATTTATTATTTCGAATGAATAGATGCAAGTCTGATGTTGAGAAGAAACTCTGAGAAATAAATATTTTGTGGGAAAAATAATTGTCAGATTTGTATCTCATTTGTAAAAAACTGGATAATGAGTTCTTTTCTCGACTCCTTTTTGTCTATATTAGAATAGCTGTAATTTTATCACAAAATTTGGTATAACAATTTGCAGTATGCAGTTTTGTGCAAAATTTCATTTTTATCATACGACACAAATTTTATGTATGGTTTTATATAAAAAAGTTATATCTCAAAAACTAAAAAAAGTGCATAATCTGCATACCTTTGCAACGAAACCTATTATAGTTGGTCTATTACAGTTGTAATTTTATCTCACAATTTTGTTTTTAAATTTGGAATATGCAGTTTTATTACTGTGAAAACAAAATTTATGTACGTTTTTTCATAAAGAAGTTATATAATGAAAAGTAAAAAAAAAGTGCTATCAGGCTTAAGTAAAAAGTGCACAGTTTGCGTCAATATATAGCGAAATTCTTTGAGTCAATATTTAAACTTTTGTTGATTCTTTATAGATTTTTGTATAATAAATTTCATTATGCAGTTTTATGAAGAATTGTATGTACATTTATTCATCGGAATATAAATTTTGTCTATAGTTTTGCATAAAAAAGTTATATCTCAAAAACTAAAAAAAGTGCATAAACAGCATCCTTTTTAGACGATACATTTTAGTCTATTTTATAATAGCTGTAATTTTATTAAAAAATTCGGTATAAAAATTTGAAGTATGAACTTAGAACATAAATTTTGTGTATATATTTGTATACAAAAGTTATATCTCAAAAACTAAAAAAGTGCACATACAGCATTCATTTTTGGGGATACATTTTAGTCTATTTTATAATGGCTGTAATTTCATTAAAAAATTTGGTATAAATTTTGGTTGAAATACGTAGTTTTGTATATAATTTTATATACATTAATTTCTCTAAAAAATATTTATTGAAAAGTAGAAAAATGCATTTTCGGGCTGAAGTGCACAATTTTCTCCAATATATCCAGATGTTTTCACTCCATAAGTTCTATAACAGCATTTAGTATAAAAATTTGCATTATGCAGTTTTGTGGAATATTTAATTCAAAATTTATGTGTGTTTTTATATAAAAAGCTATATATTAGAAAGTAAAAAAGTGCGCGAGCAACGTCCTTTTTCTACGAGACCTCGTAGAATATTTATTATTGAATTTGGTATATTCCATTGTGCAGTAAATTTATGCAAATTTAACACTGTAAATACAAAACTTAAAAATATTTTTCATATAAAAGTTGAATAGTGAAAAACATTTATTCTACGAAAGCTCTCTTAGTTCAAATACTTTTTCCAAATTTGGTCTCAAGCAATTCAGAATGATTTAAAAAAAATATAAAGTAGTATTAATGCACAATTTGGGGGGCGGCAAATTTTTCCGTTTTTTTTTTTTTTGTCACGGCAATTTATTTTAAGGATTGATCTTGATCTAGATAATTCGCTATGAAATAGAATGTTATTCGTTTTCTAATCAAACTTATTTAATATTTTTAGTGATAATAATACGTAAAATTAATAAGACGCAAATACAAATAAAAACGTATTTAATACAAATAATACTTCACAATCAAATCAAATATTAGGTTGTCAAATATCTTCCTTCCGCTTTTTTGCTCTTGGTTTATAATACAAAAAGGCGGAAGGGAGATATTTGACAACCTTATATATGAATCAAACAGAACTAGTTGCAAATATCAGCAGTAATAATTTCGACCATCTCGCCACGAAGGTTGAATTATGACTGATTGCGAGGTACAATAAACTTTTCGTATTGCACCCTCTATGGTCCCGTACCCGAAACTATTCAATTAGATAACAATTTTTGAATTTTTGAATTTTAGTATCATCTGGTAACAATTCAACAATTTGTCCCTCTCTGACCCCAATAAAAGAGGTTCGCAATAACAGCTAAAATCATTCTGTATTTGGACCTCTCGGTCGACACTACACTACAGTCAGTGGTAAGTCTTTTAAAAAATATTTATGTATTATGTAATCATTTCGTGCATTCAGTTTCAAATACGTGTCATGGAACTTTTGTTTTGGTTGATTCGATTTGACTTGATTTTTGTTGAATTATAATTATAAGAATGTAAATAAATTGAAGTAAAAATTCGTCACTTTAATATTAAACGATTTGCGTTACGTTTTCTAATTCAATATATTTGTGCTGAAGTGTCGCCTCAGTGTTTATTGTTGTGAAAATATTTAATTTTAGCCTTTGAGTTAACAAAAATAATTTAATGCAATCTTTAGATTATTAAATTAAAATATAATTAAATAATATTAAATTTTAATATAAAATCACTTATGTTTCAAATATTTACGATTGACTACATTTGTTTTGTTTCAGATTTCATACAGTGTTTTGCGCAGTGGCGGATTGCTTTAGGGATTTATTGTGCATGAATTTTTTTTTATTCAATCACATTGACAGTTTTTAATTATTAATTTTGTTAAATTATAATTTCGAGTTATTTGCGTCCACATTTTAATTTTTTTTTTTGTTCGTGCGAGGACTTAATCGTAATTTTAATATCGTTTAAAACGATTTCCGCGTTTAAATGTGTTCCTGTCGCCTACTACCCCCCACGGCAGGTTCTAGTAATTCGCGTTTCGTTAATAAATTAATTTTTTTCAATCGGTGTATGGGTCCTTGCGATGTTTTTCCCAGAAGCAACGCAACCCCATACACTTTAATTTATAATTAGTATTATTTGTACAATGTTTAATTTTTTGGAATTATTTTATTAGTAGCATGGATGTAAATAACTCGTCTAAAAATCTAAAAACTTTGTTAAATAAATTACTTGTTTTTATTTTGACTGATTTTTCTGCTGCAATGCAATGAATATGTTTTAATTAAATAATTTAAATTTTTTGTGATTGCACAATAAGTCTCCTAAACGGAGAAATGTTCAAGACGTACTGTTTGAAGTTAACAAACAAGGTAAGATGATACAAAACCTTAAATTATGCAAAAAAAAATAACAAAATTGACGTTTATTATAGTGTAAATGGGCCTCGACTAAAGATACCAGGAGGTTGAAAACTGAAACAACGAACAGGAGAACATGTGTACCGATATGATGTACGAGAGCACTGGAATAAATACGAGTAGGCTACCACATAGTATTTATAAGTCATTGTCTATTTCATTTCTTTCAATTCACTTTTCATTTCAGGGTTGCAGAATTAATTTCTCACCAGGACTGCTAGGAGATTGTGGTGGATTAAAAAGGTTGAAGGAACCCTTTTTGGGGTGCAATGACTGCTACTTGGTACATCTTAGCATTGCGTTTACCAATATACAGGGTTTACCTTGGCGCCCCAATCTGACTTCTAATAAAAACCGGTAATTATCTGTTGAGTGCATAACTAAATATACGAATGAAACAGAATCTATACTTATTAACTTATTTAATGTTACCTAGTTGTGTTCGTCGTAGGTGCCAAGATATGACTGTATTTTTGTAGTCATGTCTTAAGTCTAAATTCTGATATACTATTGTTTTGGTTGATCAAAAAGCTTGAAATTACAGATGTGTATGATACGGCGTGATGACAAAGGGGATCGCATACAATCGGAGAATTCTCACTTTTTCTGGATTGTGTGTTCTTCGCCCATGGAACAACCCTTTCAGTTCACCTCAATATGGATACCTACAGGTTTTCTCGTATTCATAAGTTAATATTAAGTAATTAGACCTTGGTTAGATATAAGTATATAATATTTTTATTTTTGTTACCGGGGCCCCGTTTGTATGTTTGCCCCTATTTTTAGGGGCACTTGTGTTTTTTTTTTCTCATTTCAGATGTCTTTCCAAGAAAATCGCTTACCAAGTGAGTACCAAGAAATACCTCCACAACCCGTAGGAGAGAATTGGTCAGACTAATTGATGTACCAAAACACTAAAATTAGTGGCATACTGCTAAGTAATATGTATAAATCTTTATTCTTTTTATTTCAGGGTTACAGAATTGAGTGCTTTTTGCACCACAAAGCACAAGGACTTCCAAATACCTGCTAGGAGGATATGCATATTTAAAGGTTTTTATCCTATTATTGTTAATTTGATCTTATTATTAGTTATGATCATATATTTTTTTATTAATATAACCGGGGCCCCGTTTATTTGTTTGTCCCTATTTTTAGGGGCATTTGTGTTTTTTTTTTATTTCAGATGTCTTTCAAAGAAGACATTGTATTGTATATCTATATGTTTTACCAAGATATACACGAACCACCAAGAGACCACTACCGAATTAAAAGATATGTGCAAGTGTGTACCAACAATTACTTCTGCAACCCATACGAATAAATGTAATGAAATTCTATGTTTACCTCTCTTTAGGTCTTGCACGAGATTTGGCAGAAAATATCGACTCAAAACCAATTAGCACCACTATTACCTGAACTACCGCCTACAACTGAATTGGATGATATGACATAATCGAAAGGAAAATTAACTGTGAGATAAGACTTTCTATTATTATAGTAGTATTTAGTTAATATCAGGTTAGGGGACGTTTTGACATTAAAATCTTCGACCGTACTTTTTTTGTGGTTGTTCGCGTACTTTTATTCAGAGCTCAAAAGGGTGGCGTCATGAAAAAACCTCTCTTATATTTTTCGCGCTCTTCTTTATAATAATTAATTAATTATCATTTGTCCTTAAACTTCATAGGCTGGGAACCTATGAAGTTTTTCTCCAAGTGTTTATATGGTGAATCTGGGGGGTACATCATGTAAATGCTCTTTTTTTATAAATTTACAATTACCGCTAAAATACTAAAGTACACATTTGATATTGATTTTTTTCTTCACCACGAGAGGTTCTTTCATTTTTAAAAACCGAAATTTTTGGATACATTAGGTACATTTTGCGGGGGTTCTTCTTTTCGCGATATATTCGGGTAAGTTAGGTATAATTAGTTTGTAAGTTAGTTTAAGTGGATTAGGGCTGCACAAATCGATACTTAGTAGTATTTACACTATATCCATTTCTATCTGAAATGTTAGAAACGTAAATATGAATAGAAGTATCTATTTCTGTGGCGACACCACATTAAAAAAAACGCGCCTGGCAACTCTACCCCATGGGTGGTGAGGAAAAGAGTTGCATCCTAATTAAGTACATATAATTATCAACATTAAAATATTTAAATAATCATGTTCATTAATAAACATGATTGTGTCAATATATGTGTGCTGATAATTAATATCGAAATATCTTAAAATAAAATTTTTGCAAAATAATCTTTGCTTTTTAATATGTGGTTAATGTTATTTTTATATTTTTTTTCAGAACTTCATAAAGAATTATTAGATGCTTTCAGAAAGAATATTGTCAATAATTATTAATTTTGAATTAGTTGAAAAAATACTATAATTACTACAATGCGAAGAGTTACATGGTTTTTGATAAAATATAATTTATCTCTTTGCATTGTAGTATTTTTTTAACCTTTAATTCAAAATCAATAACTATTATTCTTTTTAAAAGCATCTAATAATTCTTTAGTATATGTGAGATTTAAAACTTTAGTCAGAATCTAAAATAAAATTTGAATTATTTTCGATATACTCAAAAAAAAATTTTTGAAAAAAAAAATGGAAAAAAAAAATTTTGAAACAAATTTTTTTTCCAAAATTACTTATTTTGTTAAAATAAGAAAAAGTTCTTTGCATCATTCAAATCGGACGCTTAGTTCTCTCAAAAACTGCAATTTTTTGCACATTTAGCAGGGTATCTCCGAAACGGCTGGACCTGCCTTTGCCAAAAGTTAATTACCACTTCTCCCCATCATTACAAATTGAATGTCTTTTAGATCATTCAAATTGGATGCTCCGTTCTCTCAAAAACTCGATTTCTATTTTCTGCACTCTTTGCTCCGTAACTCCGAAATTAATATTCAAAATTACTATAACTTACCCAACGCAAAGTTAAAAAATTATATCTAAATAATTTAAAATAAATTGTTTAATTAAAAAAGTAAAATTTTGTCTATTAAAAAGGGCGCCTGAACGGATAGGGCCTAGGGCGGCAGAAAGCTTAATCCGCCACTGTTTAGCCTTATAATACCATGCATCACTAGTTTAAAGACTAATAACAAAGATGTTATAATAATGAAAATGATTTAATATCAATTCAATATTAATTATATTCTCTCATAAGACCTATCCATATAAAATCTAGAAATCTTAAGATGTGAAAACGGCCCTGAAAGTCAATATTTCCTACACCATATTTACTTTGCAAAGTTATTTTTATCCAATCAGTTTGTTCTGCACTTGGAACAAATATATAGAAATATATATATATATATATATATATATATATATATAATATTTTATCGTTTGTCCTTTGGGCTGGCAATGCTCTTGAAAATATCAATTTTATTTTATTTCCGTCAATGTAATCACCACGTGGTTCTCAAACGTCAAATTTGACAGTTCGACATAAACAAACATCATTTATCAACTGTGATATAAAACAAAGTAATTAAATTGTCATCAAGCATATTTATCATCATAAAATACAAAAAAAAAATGCAATCAATTGCAAATACTCTGTTAGAGTTACTACTAACTTAAAAACTTATTAGTATATAATATTTTTTATATTTTTATATAAATTTTGTTATTAACTTTGTAAATACTATTTGATTTTTATTATGTAATTCATTTAACGTGCTATTAGTTATAAAAATGTGGTTAATATTCAGTACTTTTTTATAATTTTTATTAGTTTATTTAAATTAGTTGTAAAATTGCCTTTTGTGCAATTAATGTTAGCACGTGCGTTCAAATCGGTTAAAAAATTATATAAGCAAAAAATTATTTAACGTAGTAATTATATGGAATATGATTTTAATTTGCGTATATATATATATATACATATATATATATATATATATATATATATATATCCTAATATACTTGTTTCATGTATCAGCTGTTTTATTTCTCAAGAATTCCTAAATCAATAATTCCCAGAATTCGGCTTAATTTCGTTTAAATATGTGGTTTTCTGAAATTTATTTAACAAAAACTACAATTTATGATTTTTTTGTAATAGAAGAAATATTTTGGGCATAAAATTGAGCGTATTATTAATTTATATTATATAAAAAAAATATTCTGGGAAAAAATGGTTGGTGCTATTTATTTAAATAATTTTGAGGATAATTATATATAATTCCTAAATTTATATTAATTTGGAAAGTGAAAAGAATATTTATTTGATATTTTTATAAAGTTGTTCGCAAAAATTCAATAATTGTGAACAACTGATATAATGGATATATAACATATAAAGATTTATTTTTTTATAAAGTATAGTTATTTAAATATTGTAAGTAGTTATCTATTCAAATCATAATTTTATTTATTTTATTAAAAATTCAAGTTATTTTACTAATAATTATCTATTGACACATATTTAAAACTTTTTATTTAATAATCTGCGATAACGTTGATTAATGAATGACACATAAATATAATTTTATCTCTACATAAAAAAATGGATATAAGTACTTTGTTTTTTGCACTTGAAAATTCCCATTTATTAATGTAGTGAGGAATTTTAATTAATAGTTTATATTAAAAATTATTAATGATATAGAATTTTTATACAAAGAAATTCTATTGGATTTAAACTTATATTTTTATCTACATTTAGACGAATAATTTTACTACTTGTGTATTTTTTATTATATAAAATATATATATATATATATATATATATATATATACACTATGCTTAATTAATAAATGGACAAAACTAAATATTAAATACTAAATTAGCGAAACTATAAATTGCAATTCAAAACGATATGGTCGTATAGAAAATCGTTACATTTTAAAGTACTTTTCTAAGATTATTTTTAATATAGCAAATACTAGACCCAAATGTATAAATTTTAATATTTGAAGTCAAAGTAAACATATTAAGTAATGTTATATAATAAATATAAATCTGTACATCCATACAATCGGTACATCCTAGACATTTTTTTAAAAAATATTGTTTGAGTACTCTAATTAAAAAGTATTGTTATTATGATGATAATATTACTGAGACAGCATTATATATTTAAATTCAGTTTCAAAATTTAAATATTTATTGCTATTATATAATAATTCTTATAGAGCAAAAAAATATAAGCATTTTTAAACAATTAACGGATACGTTGCATATTGAGATGTGTACTTTGTTAGACAAAAATTAATCAATCAAATTGTAGACTCAAAATTATGAATTTTAATATTTTTACCTAAAATAGACTCATTGAAGATTACTATATGTAAACATCAAAGTTGTCGTATAAATATTTGTGTGTAAAATTTTTAATAAAAAAAGTCCTTGCGTTTTAGAGCACTTGGTCAAAATTATTTTCAATATCTTGCATATTTCATACAAATTTATAGATTTTATTATTTTTACTCAAAGTAGATATAATAGAGATTTTTATATAAAAAATGCAAAGTTGTAATATAAACGGTGCGTCCTTAATAATTTTTTAAAGATATCACAATATCAAAATTATAAAATTGTAGAGCAAAATTTTAGCCGTTACTTTGTTAAGATTATTATAAATATCTCAAAATTTGCAAACAAATTTATAAATTTTAATATGTCAAGTTAAAATAGACATATTGAGTAAAATTATATATAAAATACAAGTCTGTAATACAAACGGTGCGGCCTGAGGATTTTTTGAAAAAAAAAAGACGAAAAGTGCTGGTTAACAAAAATTAATTTTAACAAATAAATTTAGTATTGAAATTTAACTAGTCAAATTTTTGTATTAAACTAATACTAATATAAACCAAATTTTTGAGTTTAAAATAGATAAAAAAATTAGCTTTTGAAATAAATTTCTTTAAATTAATATTTTTACTTGGATTTGTATTGTTTAAATAGTTTTTTTTTTAACTTGAAGCCGAAATAAAATTTGTGGATATATATAAAGTTTCAAAATATTTTACTATTTGATTTTTACAGCTATTATTTAAATAATA